ATGGAAGAAGACAGTGCTGCCGGTGACGCGATACGCGCCGAACTGTCGCAAATGCTGGCCGATACCAAGCACCGCGAGTTCTATACCCTGGGCGTGACCTTGGGCAGCCGCTACCGTGAATCACCGGTGCTGGCGGGCGAGACCTCTGCTGCGGGCGATCCACCGGATTCGACCAATTACATCCCTCTGGCGAGAGCCGGCTGCCTGGCGCCGCATGCCTGGCTGAGCGACAACACCGAAGACCGTTCGATGGGCGCCTCGCTGTATGACCACTTCGAGCCGCGCGGTTTCACGCTGCTGGTCACGCGCAAGGAAGCCGCGCCAGCTGCCGGTGCCCTTGTTGATGCGGCTGCAGGGCAGGGCGTTCCCCTGAAGCTGCTGTCGCCCGACCTGCCTGCCTTGCGCGACCTGTACGGCTGCGACTACGCCCTGATTCGGCCCGACCAGTACATCGCCTGGTGCGGCAACAGCATCGCTGACGCCTTCGACCTGCTGGCCCGCGTGACGGGCAAGTCGCTGGAGGCGGTGGCCTGACACCCCTGCTTCCACCCCGCCTACCCCTGATTCCGGTTTTGATTTTTTGATTTCGATTAATAAAAGGAGACATCTCATGAAAGCATTCAACCGCCGTGCAGCTCTTGCCGCTGCCTGCATCACCGCCCTGATGGGCAGCACCGCCATGGCGCAGGCACCTGCGCCCGCCGCCTGGCCGACAAAGCCCGTGCGTATCTGGGTGCCATCGCCTGCTGGTACCGCACCTGACATCATGGCCCGCGTTATTGGCGACAGGCTGTCCAAAACCTGGGGCCAGCCGGTTATTGTTGAAAACCGTCCAGGGGCGGGCGGCATGATCGGCCTGGGCGCCATCAAGAATGGCCCGCAGGACGACCACACCTTTGCGTTTGTCGCGGCCTCGGTGCTCACGCTCTCGCCCTATATGTTCAAGACTTCGCAAGGCGACGTGACCCGCGATTTCGTACCTGTGGCATTGGTGGGCGAAAGCCCGATGATGCTTGCGGTCAGCGCGTCTTCACCGGCAAATTCTCTGGCGGATGTGGTGGCCCTCGCGAAAAAGGACCCTGCCAATTTTGTGGTGACCTCGCCCTTCATTTATTCGGTGCCGCATCTTGCCGGCGAAGTGTTGTCCAAGGCCGCAGGCGTGCCCATGCGGGCTGTGCCCTATGCCAACAGCGGTGCAGCGATTGCAGCCGTCATGAACAACGATGCACAGGTCATCATTGACGGCATCCCGCCCATTGAGCCCATGGTCAAAGGCGGCAAGTTGAAGGCGATTGCGGTGTTTTCCGAAGCCCGCCTGCCCAACCGTGCGCAGACCCCGGTGGTGGGCGAAAACTTTCCGGGCATGGTGATCAACGGCTGGTTCGGCGTGATTGCGCCCAAAGGCACGAGCGACAGGGCGATTGACCGTGTCAACCGCGACATCGCTGCGGCCGTGAAGACGCCTGAATTGCTCGAGCGCTTTGACGCCCTTGGCGTATATGCGAAAAGCATGACGCCTGCGCAGTTTGGCAAGTACTGGAACGATGACCGCACGCGCTGGGAGAAAGTGTTGCAGGACGTCGGTGCGAAGCCGCAGTAAGCCGACGAGCAAGCCCGGCAGCCCTACCAGACCCTGACGAACAGGAACACGCCTCATGAAAACTGATATCGAATCCGCATACATCGTCCTTGAAAGCCGCAACCCTGCTGCCGTCAACAAATACCTTGGCGAAGTGATTGGGCTGATGCCCGGTGCACCCACTGCAGCAGGTGCCTCGACCTGGCGCGCAGACGGCAAAGCCCAGCGTGTGGTGCTGGCCCAGGGCCAGGCCAACGATGCAACTGCGATAGGCTTTGAACTCGCCAGCTGCGAGGCGCTGGATGCAGCAGTCGCCCGCCTGCGCAAGCTGGGCCTTGACCCTGTAGCTGGCACAGCTGCCCAGAAACAGGAGCGCCGCGTGAAAGAGATGGTCAGCGTGCCATCGCCCTGGGGTGTGCAGGTCGAACTGGTGCTGGGGCTTGAAGAAGCTGCCACACCCTTTGCCAGCAAGGTTTACCCCAGCGGTTTTGTCACGGGCACCCAGGGCTTTGGCC